AATTATGCTAAATGGCGGGCTGGGTGTGGTGACTCACAGTTGTAATCCCAGCACTTTGGGAGGCCAAGGCAGGCAGATCACCTGATGTCAGGAGTTCGAGACCAGCCTGACTAACATGGTGAAACCTCGTCTCTACTAAATATACAAACATTAGCTAGGCATAGTGGTAGATGCCTATAATCCCAGTTACTCAGGAGGCTGAGGCAGGGGAATCGCTTGAACCCAGGAGGCAGAGGTTGCAATGAGCTGAAATCATGCTATTGCACTCCAGCCTGGGTGACAGAGCAAGACTCTGCTTAAAAAAACAAAAAGAGTTACACTAAATCTACTCTGCCTGTGCTCCATAAGTGGAACAACAAAGCCTGGATGACAGCACAACTGTTTACAGCATAGTTTACTGAATATTTTCAGTCAACTGTTGAGACCTATCACTAAAAAAAGGTTCCTTTCAAACTATTACTGATCACTGACAATGTACCTTGCCACTCAAGAGCGCTGACGGAAATTTACAAGGAGATTACCGTTCTCATGCCTGCTAACACGATATCATTCTGCAGTCCATGGATTAAGGAGTAATTTCTACTTTCAAATGTGTTTAAGAAATAGATTTTATAAGGCTACCGCTCTGATAGATAGTGTTTCCTCTATTGGATCTGGAAAAGTAAACTGAAAACTTTCTGGAAAGCATTCACCATTCTAGATGCTATTAAGAATGTTCTTGATTCATAAGGGGAGGTCAAAATAGCAATATTAACAGGCGTTTGGAGGAAGTTTATTCCAACCTTCATGGATGACTTTAAGGAATGCAAGACTTCAGTGGAGAAAGTCACTACAGATGTGATATGTGATAGAAACACCAAGAGAATTAGAATTAGAAGTGGAGCCTGAAGATGTGACTGAATTGCTACAATCTCATGATAAAACGTGAACAGGTAAGGAGTTGCTTCCTATGGTTGAGCAAAGAAAGTGGACTCTACTGGTGAAGATGCTGTGAACATTGTTGAAATGACAACAGAGAATTTGGAATATGACATAAACTTAGTTGATAAAGCAGTGGCAGTGTTTCAGAAGATTGACTCCAATTTTGAAAGAAGTTCTACTGTGGGTAAAATGCTATCAAACAGCATTGCACGCTACAGGGAAATCTTTTGTGATTTCCCCGTAGTTACAGGGAAATCAACTGTGTTGGCAAACACAGAGTCAACTGACATGGTAAATTTCATTATTGTTGGATTTTAGGAAGTTGCCACAGCCACCCCAACCTTCAGCAACACCACCCTGAGCAGTCAGCAGCCATCAACACTGCGGCAAAACCCTCCACCAGCAGAAAGATCATGGCTCACTGAAGACTCACAAGATCATTAGGATATTTCAGCAATAAAATATTTTTTAATTAAGGTATACACATTTTTCAGACATAATGCTATTACACACTTAATAGACTATAGGACAGTATAACTTTTATATGCTTTGGAAAACAATTTGTGTGACTTGCTTTATTACAATATTTGCTTTATTGAGGAGGTCTAGAACCAAACTGCACTGTCTCTGAGGTATGCCGGTAGTAATGTTAAAGTAGAGAAACTGGCAGATACAATATTTACCATGTGTTCAAAGTTAACACCACCAGTAATGAAACAAAGCAGTATCGCATGCCTCTCAATCTGATGCACTGAGAAGAACACATCACTTCTCTGATATTCTTGCCAAAAATGTTTTTGCCAAACCTCAATCTAATCATGAGGAAACAGACAAACACAACTTCAGAAATATTCTACAAAATAACCAGCTTGTACTCTTTAAATGATTTCTAGCTTATGAAAGAAAAAAAAAAGAAAGCCGAAGAAATATGACAGAGCAAAGAGGACTTGGGAAACATGACAACTAAATGTGATCCTGGCCCCAGAGGCAATCAAAAAATTTGGATAAAGTCTGTAGATAATATTAAATTAATATTAATAGCCAGATATTTATTGTTACACGGTTATAAAACAGAATGTCCCTATTTTAAATAACTACACAGTGAAGTATTTAGAATTGAAGGTGCATCATATCTGTAACTTGATCCCAAATGTTCAGAAAATTTATATATATGCATACATTACATACATATGTGTGTGTATATCAGCCGGGTACAGTGGCTAACTCCTGTAATCCCAGCACTTTGGGAGGCCGAGGTAGGTGGATCACGAGGACAAGAGATCAAGACCGTACTGGCTAACACAGTGAAACCCTGTCTCTACTAAAAATACAAAAAATTAGCCAGGCATGGTGGCACACACCTGTAGTCTCAGCTACTCAGGAGGCTGAGATAAGAGAATTGCTTGAACCCAGGAGGTGGAGGTTGCAGTGAGCCAAGATTGTGCCACTGCACTCCAGCCTGGGTGAGAGTGAGACTCCATCTCAAAAATACAATAAAATAAAAATAAAAAATATGTGTGTATATGTGTGTGTAGATAGAATGATCAACTAATTGTAGTAAAATGTAAAGCATTAACATTTGGGGGATCTAGGAAGAGTATATAGAAATTCTTTGTAACATTTTCATGTTTGCACATTCTCTGTAAACAAAAACTTTCTTAAAATTAAAGCAAACAAACAAAGAACACAAGGCCAGGCACGGTGGCTCACAGCTGTAATCCCAGCACTTTGGGAGGCTGAGGTGGGCAGATCGCTGGAGGTCAGGAGTTCAAGATCAACCTGGCCAACATGGTGAGACCCCATCTCTACTAAAAATACAAAACTTAGCCAGGGGTAGTGGTGGGTACCTGTAATCCCAGCTACTCAGGAGGCTGAGGCAAGAGAATCACTTGAACCTGGGAGTTGGAGGTTGCAGTGAGCTGAGATTGTGCTATTGCACTCCAGCCTAGGCAGTAAGAGTGAGACTCCGTCTCAAAAAAAGAAAAAAAAAAAAAAAAGCAGGAACTCCCAATGTCCTTTGCTCCCCCCACCCCCAACACTGAGAAGCACTGCAATGCTCTGGGTGGTCTTCCCTGAAAGCAGCAAGTTCCCTTCGGGCATTAGTGTATCTCCAAACCCCAGAGCCTAACACAGGGCCTGGCATCTGCTAGGGGCTCAAAAAAGGGCCAATGAATAAATGAACTACAAGAAAGATCCAAAAGAGTGGGCAATTCCCAATTTGTGGCTCTCCCTCTGCAGAGCTAGTAGGAACCGTGGCTGTCTTGTGTAAATGTTAGCCGGGAATGATGAGCAGACGGCATTGGAATGGAGAGTAAGTTGTGGCTCTACTCTAAGGGATTATTTTTGTTAAGGAGGCAGGGGAGTGCAGCATGTACTCTTGGGCTGGCCTGCAATGGCCCCGCTCTCCTGAAATAGGAGTGCATTCCAGGTACCACATGTCCTACTATACAAGGTCTCTGTCGGATCACGCATAAGCCATGTGATGCACTGAGATAAGAGGAAATAAACACCAAGATGCACCAAGATAACAAGAAGGATTGAAATAGTTCCACGTTCAGTAAATCCTTCATCATGAAAATAATGCCTCATAACATTCTGTTCTTACTTCCCAAACCACGAGTACTTGGTTTTTCAAATTCACATTGATTTTGTATATGAGGTCTGAAATTAGCATCGTTTTAATTATCAAAGTTCAAGAAAAACTTCAAAAAAGTTTAAGAGTTGAAAAATACGACTTTGCTTTGAAAATGCAGCTAATTCATGAATGTCCCAAACTGATTGCCTCTCCAGAAAACTTCAATTCTGAATAGTGACAAAGGAAAAAAACATGTAATCCACAGACCATGAAAATGTATTAGGGGATGTTCCTATAACCCACAGAAAATAGGGACATAGAAGAGATGTGCTTTTTCTAGCCAAGTTACAATTTCACAATCACGAACACTGTGTCATAATATTCCAGAAAAAAATTAAACAAGGCTAACTATAGCACATAACTGAGGGCAAGACGCAATATTGCAAACCTCATTTGCATATTAATTCCAGGGGCCTTTTTGCTTTATAAGGAATATAATTTTTGAGGATATCTAGATGAGATTGCTATGCACACTGGTAGGGACTTATCTACCAGTTTATTTGAAAATGAGTTCTTAGGGCAAACCCAAATCATAAGGAGGGGAAAAAAGCAACACCACTCTACAATCAGGAATACACAATCAGGAGCCCACTGAGGAACTAGGGCAAGTTGGTATAGCTGCGCCCTCTTCCCCTTTACTTGACACGTCAGAGAGGCCAATTAGTTCTCAGTCAAAACTCCATTCCTTCCTCCAACTTAATGAATAAGGGCAGATACTTAACTCGACCTCAGAGTCTTAGTGGTCGGCTATTAGTTTGTCCCTAACAACCCTCAGCTTCCCATCTCCCATTTCAATGCTGCCCCACTTCTCTAAAACGGGAAAACCTATGCACAGCATGCTTGCTTCTAGGCTCTCCCAGGGCTATGTTGTCTGTAAAACCCAAAAGGACTTGGCGCAAGAAAGATACCTGATGAGGCCCCAAGAGCAGGAGTCAGCTTCTCCCCTTTCTGTGCTCAGTATCCCACCTGTTCCAGACACAGTCTAGTCCTGAAGCTGCCAATGGTGTGGGTCTATCAATGCCAAGTAAAATCACGAGGATTCACGGTGATCTGTACCCCTGACCTAAGGATTCTGGAAGAAAACCCTCCTTTTGTGGAGCTCATACAACCTCAGATCTGTATGCAAATAGGCAGACAGCATGGTATTGTTACAGTTCAGTTGTTCTCAATCAAACTGTCTTCCCCAGTCCCTAGGTCCTCTCACTTCTCTGTGAGAACCCATAGCTATGGATACCCCTGGGCTGCTCTACAACTGGGATTTCAATAAAAATCAAGCCACTGCCTATTTTTGTCTAAAGAGGAAGCAAAGACACTAGACCAAAGGATAATATGACAGTTCTAGAAATCTGAGCCTTCATGCTGGTCATCAGCTCCTAGTGTGTTATCACCAATGAAAAATGCAGAAGCTTTGCTTCTTGGTCCCCACCCAACTGGTTCTTCTTACCTTTGGCTCCATTGAAATGAAACTGTGGGTCCCTCTGCTTGAGATAACTGACCTTTTAATCGTCCTGCTATGGTAGAAGTGGTAGTAGTCCTTCAGGGCCCCTATCTGCAAAGGAAAGGTGGGAAGGAAAGAACAAAAGAAAGACATTAATGCATGAAAAACATCTTCTGTTTTCCTGTTTTTCATTTAAAAAGGAACACAAAACGAAAAAGGTCCATAAATTATGCAGCTGCTGGCTGTGCTTAAATGTTACCTGAACCTTGGTGATCACTTTTCTAAAGAAGGACATGTGATATGAAATGGAGTGTCCTTGAGGCAGTGACTGCGGAACTAAAGATTATAATGGGGCAGCTTAGCCTCTCCAATCTCCTTTTAATGTTTAATTTATATGCAGCATTTTAAGTAATTCTATATCAATCTATACCCAAATGTGGGAAAGAGGGGGAAAAAAATCAAATAGCTATCTAGTTATAAAAACACATTGCATTTTGTTTGCTCTGAGAAATGTACAATGAAGGACCTTGTTAGATTATTTATATAGCTAATTTGAAATATGTCTTAAGCAACTGATCATTCACAAAGATAACAAGACTCGGTTTGTTTCTGACTTCTGTAGAGAGTATAAATATAGAGCTCTTATTCATTTATTGCAAAACTAAAAGTAAAATCGCAATTTCTAAAATGAGACAAAAATCATACACCCTACCAATCAGCTAAGTTTCCTGTATAAAGACAGTTGGTTCTACTTTATCTTACCCATTTCTTTAACATTCCAGTCCTCCCATTTACATACACCTTTCCTCAGGTAGATCTGTTTAGGATGGCTTTGAAAATGAGCCCCTGTCCACTTTGGAAAAGCAAACGAGCAAAACCTCAACCAACCATATTTTCTCAGCAAATTACAAAATGTAGATCACAGAATGAAAACTGAACCACGCATTGAAGACAGAAGAGCTTGGTTCTAATTCCAGCTGACACTCACCAGAGCTAAACAACATACACTAAGTCTCTGTTTCCTGTTCTATAAAATTGGACTTTGGGCTAGTTAATTTCCAAGACCACTGCAGCGCCCAGATTCCATTCTTTGACGCTCACATGCTTTGGGCAAATACTATAGTAGCTGTTTCTCCAGGACATCCATGGCTCTGCCCTAAAATAATGACTATCATCAGGAAGTTTTCCAATTGGGAAAAGTCAAAAGTTCAACTTTCCTAATTTAAAAAAAAAAAAAAAAAAAGTCTTGGCCCAGGTTAATTTTTCCAGATAAAAGCTTCATTTCTCATTCCCTTCTTTTCATCACGTTCTCAACCATCATCCCACTCGATTTCTGTGCTATTTAGAAATCATGTCCTCACTAGGGCTTTACACAGTAATTAAATGTCTCATCATTAAGATTTGAAAGAAAGTCTAAGTCTCACATTTTTTATTCAAGTGGAAACTGCTCTGACCTACACAGATGAAATCCTGGACTCTGAAAACAAATGGGGAATGCAGGCAGGGAAGCTTCTCATCTCAATGATCCTGGACTCTGAAGCGGCAGTGAACAATGAGGAAGAGGGCACAGATGCCAGCCCCAGCCTCCAGAAGTGTTTTAAGGAGGGATTTACAGGCCCATTTTAAGATTCCAGAGGACTAAGGGTAGAATTCAGGAGTGGTTGCATAATCCTTTACAAGAAAACCTTAAAATCCCAAGAAGCTTAGAGTTTTCATCGCCTGTAACTTTTGTCAAGAGCTCTCTTTGGTAAATACAGTAGTTCTCATGGAAAGAAACAGAATCTCCATAGGGAAGATCCTCACAGAACAACCCCCTCTCATATGTTTTCTACACAGTAGCTGGAATGAAGCTTTCAAAATACAAATCCAGCTGTGTTCTATATCCTACCCCTGCCTAAAATCCTTTAGTGGATTCCCTTTGCCCTTAAAATAAATAGTATCAGTCAACAATTAATAATATTTCATAATATAGTTTTAAAAAGTAAATCAGAATAATAATATTGTATTAAACTTTTATTCACACTGTGCCAGGAACTATTCCATACGCTTCATCTAACTCACTGAATAGACCATTCTCCTCCTCTGACCTAGGGGCTTGCGTGGTCTGGCCCAGCCTCTCTCTGGCCTCACCTCAAATCACACTTACCAGCGTTCTCTCTGTACTCTGGCTGATATTGTTTGGCTGCGTCCCCACCCAAATCTCATCTTGAATTGTAGCTCCCATAAATTCTGCATGTTGTGGGAGGGACCCAGTGGGAGATAATTGAATCATGGGGTGGGTTCCCCCATACTGTTCTCATGGTAGTTAATAAGCCTCAAGAGATCAGCTGGCATGGTGGCTCATACCTATAATCCCAGCACTTTGGGAGACCAAAATAGGCGGATCACTTGAGGTCAGAAGTTCAAGACCAGCCTGCCCAACATGGTGAAACCCTGTTTCTGCTAAAAATACAAAAATTAGTTGGGCATGGTAGCACATGCCTGTAATTCCAGCTACTCAGGAGGTTGAGGCAGAAGAATCACTTGAACCTGGGAGGTAGAGGTTGTAGTGAGCCAAGATCGTGCCACTGCACTCCAGCCTGGGCAACAGAGCGAGACTCTGACGGGAAAAAAAAAAAAAGAGCTGACGGTTTTATAAGGGGAAACCCCTTTCACTTGGCCCTCATTCTCTTCTCTTGTCTGCTGCCATGTGAGACATGCCTTTCACCTTCCTCTATGATTGTGGGGCCTCCCCAGCCACATGGAACTGTAAGTCCATTAAACCTCTTTCCTTGGTAAATTGCCGAGTCTTGGGTATGTCTTTATTGGCACCATGAAAATGGACTAATACACTGGCTATGCTGGACTTCCTTCCATTCCTTGACTGTGTCACGCTCATTGCTCCCTCCACCTGTAGCACCTCCCCTACTTCCACCCTCTCCGACTGAACTCCTCTTCCTCATACTTTGAGTCTCATCTCAAGTAGGAAGTCTTCCAAAACTCCCCAGGCGAGGTCAGCGTCATTAATTATACCATCCCATATTAATAGAATCAAAAGAATATGCACCTCTAGTTATACCTTAATTAGTACAATTACTGGTTTAATGCCTGTGTCCCCATCAACCCATATGTTCTATTGAGACAGGAGCACATCTGTTTGCTCACCATTTTATTCTCAGCTCCTAGTGCATGGCTCAACATAGGATAGAATCTCACTAAAGACTGCTGAATGAATGGCCTAAAAATCAGAATCCAGCCGAGTGCGGTGGCTCACGCCTGTAATCCCAGCACTTTGGGAGGCTAAGGTGGGGGGATTATGAGGTGAAGAGATCAAGACCATCCTGGCCAACATGGTGAAACCCCATCTCTACTAAAAATACAAAAATCAGCTGGGCATGGTGGCACACGCCTGTAGTCCCAGCTACTCGGGAGGCTGAGGCAGGAGAATTGCTTGAACCAGCGAGGCAAAGGTTGCAGTGAGCCAAGATCATGTCACTGCACTCCAGCCTGGCGAAAGAGCAAGACTCTGTCTCAAAAATAAATAAATAAAATAAATACATAAATAAATAAATATCAGAATACTTAAATTACTAAAACCACATACAGTAGAGCTACATGCAGCTCAAAATCTCTAGTATGAGTATCAAAGAATTATCACATCAAGGCTGATTTCAGCAAAAATGGTTTAGTTCTACCTTAACTGCAGTACCAACTCTTCCAAGGTTCTGAAAGTTGTGGGTTGAGACATCTCTACCCTTTATTTTGTTTCATTTTGCTTGCAAGACAACAGTTAAAGAGTAAAGTGCCTTAGTTCAATTATTCTGCCCCATCTAAACAAAATAATCTATCACCTTCTAGGAATATATATATATAAAAGCATGTTTATGTCTCTCATCTATTAATATGCATGTTCCTTATTGACGAGAATTATCTTTCGTATTCTTTCAACAGCACCAAGCATACTATTGGGCATTTAACAAATATTAAGAAGCAAAATGTCACAACATGTTGGAAGTTATTCAATAGAAAGGCAGTGTATGAAAAAAGAGCAGTGATATTATCTATAAGCAGGCATTCCATCTAGCTTCTCCAGCGTAATGTAAAACAAAAGCTGATCGTGGTTACGTTATTCAATAGCAGCAAGGACTAAAACAAGAAGCAATATATAACTAACATGGGGGTATCTTATAAATAAATCAGAAACAACAGGAGTATATGAAGTATAAAATCAATAGCAAATAGTGCAAAGCCCAACCTTTTCCTTAACGCTAGCTACATAAAGGAAAGAGAGAATAATTTCTTCACTCTTAGCCCTCTAAAGCTCCTCTTCTATACAGTCACACACTAACACAACTCTATACACAACTCTAAGTCAATGAATTTCATCTCTTGTTCCTGATTCTGACAAGTTTTTGTGCTTTTTCTTCCTGAGTGGTAGCCCGTCACCCTTGCACCGAGAATTCTCCTATCTCTATCCTTTCTAGACCCAAAGCGTGTTCTTAGGAAAGGCGTTGTAAAGTATTTTATCCTAATAAATGACCGGTAGACTCAATGTTTCAGTTCTTTCAGGGACAACTGCATTTGATGAGAAAATTAAAACTGGAGCCAAATAAATGCGTTCACAGAGCCTGTTATTTTGAAAAAATAACCATTGAAGTTTTGAGTTTACTTTTTTCTCTAGCAGCAGGAGGGGCACCTTCCCAATGTTCCTACATTTTCGTATCACAAGCAAGCTGATGACTTTTGAACAGAGAGCTGAGACCCATGCGTTACACTGGCTCTGCCCCTGAGGAGCTGTGTGGCCTTTTAGAAATCATTCACCACTGGCGGCTTCACCTGAGCATGCAGCGAAACCCCTCACCAGTCTAATGACACAGAGTTTGCAGCTTCCTTGTACATAGTTCTGAAAGGTGATCAACTGACCCCCACAGAGAGTTTACCCAAGACGAAGCAATTTCCTGGGACACAGGATTTTTCAGTGCTGAAATAAGGACAGTTGGTCACCTAGTTATGAAGCACTGGGGTCACCAGCACTGTGGCCCCCTTGAAGAACCTGTCACTTCTCTCGGGCTGCTTCTCTGCTTGGTTTTCCCTCCTGCCGTCCTCAATTTATAGATTCCTCCAAATTCTGT